ATGATGCTGATTTGAAATAAAGCAAGAGCGCTAAAGACCTTAATGGCTTTAGCAAAAATTGATTACTGTTTTATCAAGGATAGACCGAATTGAAGGTCTCGGAATTGGAAGATTTGTTGATATATTCTTTATATTCAATAATAAGCATCAATTTTAGATATATGGATGTTTTCAATATATTTTCTGATTATTTTTGTATAGTATTTGTCATAGATATATATACAATTGATGTTGCTTCAGCTTCTTCTATCGCTTATAACATTAATAAGCCATAGAAGAAGCTGAAGAAAAACGAACTTCGTAATAATAGAATATGATTAAGAAGCACATCTCTTCAAAGACACAAACTACGAATCAAATACTACAGCTTTAACAAAGTTAGTTGGTTGTTAACAAACTAAGAATTTTCCTTAATTTTAAATTTAAGAAATCTCTCTAATTAAGCAAATGTGATGCAATTCATGCTGCCTTAAATGCCAGCTATTATTTTTAGATTAAGGGCGCTCTAACTAACGGATACACACACAGACACCCACACAAACACACAGAAGTAGAAGCCCCCTCATAGAACACCCTAACAAATAAATGTACAATATTTCTTTACAGTTGACTTGGCAGCTAAATTTCCAACAATTTCTGCTTAGCGTGCTCATTAGTCGAGAAATCTCATTAGAAACTAATGAAGGTGTGTTGGCAATAACAACACACATACACACCCACACACACACTCACACAGCTAGTTATACTGGACATCATTTAGTGTTCGACTTTGGCTCATTATGTTAAATTTTTATACATATTTTTCGTTCGCATTTCTGCTATATTCGCATCTCGCTGTTGATTGGAGAAATGGCGAACAAGAGTGAAAAATTAATTTGGCCAGTCAGAAAGAGAGAGAGCGAATGTGAATGCGAATGCGAATGCGGCTATTTCCATCCCGTTCAGACACTAAATTTTTTCTATCAAATATTATTTGTACAATAAACTAAAATGAGTGACTGTATGTGTGTGTATGAGCTTGTGTGTGTGTGTTTGTTCCATCCCCCAAGCGTATGTACGTATGTGTTGCTGTGTGGCATGATAAAATAAAAATACGAAAAATGTGGAAAAAATACAAGAAAAATTAATAATGAAACACACACACACACGCTTAGAGACAAGGACAAGCATGTAGAGTATATAAATATGTATGTGTGTGCTTGTGGGTCTGCCAGATATACACAAGCCATTTGCTTGTGTGCGTGTGTGTGTGTGTGTTTGCTGGTTATTTTGGGCAAGGGCGGCGCAAATAATAATCATTTTTATAATAATGCAAGTGTATCTCAGCCAAGTTTTGGCCTTATGTGTGTGTGTGTGGGGGGGGAGATGGTGATGGTAGCTGTGGTGGTGGTGGGGTTGGGCGAGCAGCGATCGTCATCGGCATCGTTATCTGCCACACAAACAGCCAACCCCTAAAAGTATGCAGCAAATAATTTCGAGCGCACAAGTGAAATCTATCGCACAAATTTTGCACAAACTATGCGAAAAAGTAAGCGCTAGCAGCAACAAAAATTCCATAAATTTTTGCTGCTACGCTTTCCCCACTCATTTTCACACACACACACTCACACACGCGCGCAGTTACAAGCATATGTAGAGGGGAAGTTTGCAATTTTATCACACACAGATACATATAGAGACACCCCCCAACCTCCTCTTGCAGCGACTTTATGAAACCATCAAATTATTTTCTTTTCCATTTCTGACACTCAAAAGAAACGCAAAGAAAGCAGCAACAGCAACAACAACAACAACAACAGCAACAACAGCAGCAGCAGCCACTACAGCTGAGGCAGCAGCAGCAGGAGAAGCAGCAGCAGTAGGTGAACAAAAAGGGAATTACATGGCTGCGGCACAAAAGTAGTTGGGCCAAAGGAGGCAAAAATATTATTTTCCAGTTACGCTCGTCTCCGTCCACGTCGTCATGGCACATCCTTTACATTACTTTTCTCTTTTTTTTTTCTTCTTGCTTTTCTGGCTGTGCTGCTGGCTCAAAGTTTGTGGCGTCCTCACTCACTCTCCCTCTCTCTCTCCTTCTCTCATTCTCTGGTCTGCCCACATGCCTTGCGGGTTACTTTTTCCATCTCTGTTCGTTTGTGTGTGTGTGTGTGTGTAAGAGTGTCTTTGTATTTGTGTCTATGTGTGTGCAGCTACTTCGTCTTATTCGAGTACGAAATTTTTATGAGAAAATGCCTGCCAGCTCAACTGCTGCTGGTTGAAGTATCTGTATGTGTGTATGTGTGTGTGTGAGTCTGTTTACTTGAATACCCAGTGGGAAACAGATGCATGAAAAAGGCAGTACTCAATGCAGGCTTTCGCTTAACTCTACAGTAGTTCATAGAGTATCAGTGAGTATTTTAAGGAAGTTAATTTAGCTAATATTTTGAGTGTAAAATGCTTACAAAAAGACATGCTAAAGGACCTACATGAAACAGCATTTCTGTTAGGAATGACAGTAGTAAATAAGTTAAAAGAGTATTAGTTTCATACATAGCTGCTTCTATAGCTAACTGATTCTGTATAGGTTCCCCACCTATGTATGTATCTAAAGCACATCCTTTCAAAAAATGTATAGGTAAACACTAGTCCTTCGGTCCCACTGGGCAACTGGTAATCGTCTCTGTATGTATGTGTGCATGGGCCGAGTTATAAGCCTCAACTGTGCTGTATATCAAAATATTTAAAAGCAAATATAATATTGGTGGGCTAAAAGGCACTGGGGAAAATGGAGAGAAATGGGCAGGCCATAATAGAAAAACACTTAAGCAGCCCGCCCAGTGGTCGAAACGGCTGGTTGGGTCGGGTGCGCGACTGGCGCCTTGCTCTATGCTCTATATATGTATATACGAACAACAACAAATATCAAAAGGCATACAAAATGTAAAAATATTAATAATGAGCCAAGCGACGGCGCAGAGCAGTTACCCAAAGGCAGCAACACAACCAAATGAGAATGTGGCGGAAAAATTGTGGAAAATTTATTGATTTTGACTTCGAGAGGAGAGCGCAACAAAAAACCAACAAGAAAAAAAAAAATACAAAATAAAATAAAGTAAAATGAATGGCAGAGCGGCGCAGGCTATAAATGATTGGCTGAATGTTTATCAGGCTCGGACAAACACACACACACGAACATAAATATATAAATATATATGTGTGCGCGTGTGTGTGTGGGTGCATTATAACGAAATTGATTTCGATCTTATCTTGCTTATCGTTGAAATTTTTATATTTTTATTGGCATTCGCATTAAAAATACTTAATCTCACAGCGAAGTTATTATGGCAGCCACCCTCCACTTGGCTCCACTTGTGGGGTTGTGCTTGGGGATTGGCAGGGTAGCTCTTTAATAATGTCCATATCGAAATTTTACTTTATCGCCATTTTTCGCTGGCTCTTTTTTTTGTTTTTGTTTTTTTGTTTTTAGTGTGCGTCGTTCGTAATATTATTATTATTTTTACGTTATTAGCACCCGTAGGGCTCTCGCGGCGTATGCGTAATGCGCGATAAAACGCGTGTGTGAGAATGTGTGTGTATGCGTGTATGTGTGTGTGACTGTCAACTAATGAGACTTTTTAATAAATTGCCCCACCATTTTTAGTACAATTTTCATTATTAATAAAACTTTATGACATATATATCAGACGTATGTGTTGTGTAAATGTGCGTTTGTTTAATAAAACAGAGTCAGTTGGCAGGCGTGATAGACCAGGACATACCCTGTTGCCAACAAGAGTGTGTCGGTTTTGTTGTGGTAAAGTATATATAAGAACTTTTGACTCAGTAATGCTCTGTTTCCTGCCTTTGACTACTCAACAGGATAATTACTTAAACAGGATAATTTTATACAACATTATAGCCCACTTTTTACAGTACTAAGATACCATCTAAACCAATTTTTAACACCGCTTTGCTTGTTTTTTTATGTTTACAGGGTATCAAAAAGCGCAAGCAAACAAAAATTTATGAGTCCAATTAAATTTCATAAGTTCCCAGTTGTATGTGTATTGTTTGACTTTCTGTGTGTGTGTTTATTTGTGTGCGTCATGTCCACGTCAAAGCGCGATGTGCATTAGAGCGCCTAAAAGTGGATTGCTACCAAAAAAAAAAAAAAAAAAGAAATAATTATCATTGCAGAATTTATGATCGAAAAACCTTTTAAATTTACTGTCTAATAAAGGATGGGAACGTTGTTAAGTAGGTCTATATATTATATACCAAAAAAGAAGACGCTAAAAAGTCGAGCATAACAAAAATGATACCATCTATATATAGACATTGAGATTATCATAGACCAAGTAGACACTTCTCATGAATAATTTTAAATATATTTATATATATTCCCCATGATCAAAATACCTGCTATTTAGAATTTTTATAACATCCTTTAATTATTTCCCCAAATCAATAATAATCCAATTTCAATAATTTAATAGGTAAGCTCAAGGAATTTCTTGGCTTTCAGCTGTCAACCTCAAGGCATGCAATAAATGTTTTAGGATTGTATGGATAGATAGGTATATATATTTGTATATATAGGTTATATTGTATATGTGTATATCTACTTCATTTAGATAGTTCTTGTGCGTTAACTTCCTGCAAGTGCTTAAGGCCAATTTGTGACTTGTATATTGTTTATATTTCAGCTAGAAATTAACGTCACTCAGATGATTAACTAAGGGATCGTAGGATATATAAACATATATGTATATAAGCATTAAGCAATACAGTTCATATATTCTTGCCAATTCGTAAAGCCAATTGTAATTTTGTTTATTAAATTTTGTAGCCAATTAAAATTTGGTTTTTCTTTTAGTTTTTTTAGCAAGCAAATTTGTTTATAGCGCATAATTTGACTAGGGCTTAAACTGCGGTTGTTCGGATTACAATATTATATAGGATTTTGTTTTGGTTGTATTGTTATTGTTATTGTTGTTGTAGACTTTAGCTGTGGAACTCACAATGTCTCTAGTCAGAGAGCGCACCTTAATCCTACGTGTAAACTTATATGAAAACAAACGCGCAACGTTACGAGTTTTGTGTTTCTGATCAGAATCAGTTTATGAAACTTCATTATGTTGAACAAAAAAACGTTAGCTAAGAAAAATTGCAACATTAGTTTTCTTTTTAGGATTTCTTAATTTATTTTGTTTACACTTTTGCTTTGAGATATAATATGTATAGAAACACTTGCTTGGCCCAGCACTTGATCAGTGTTATTTGGCTTATAGAAATCCTGGGACACGTTTTTGTATTCTTCTTCTTGATTCGTTATTTCAAAAACACTTTTTGTTCACTGAGATTGGCTTTAGATTGCATATATTTCATAGAGCTGTTGCTGCTTTCTTGTTGTTGTTGTTGTTGTTATTGTTGAAACTTACAGAACTTGTACAGGGCGTTTCACTTATTTATCATACCGACAAGTCTAGCACGCCGTTGTGGTGGCCACGCGCGGCTACTTCTGCACCACGTACGCGTTTTCTGTAGACTGAATTTCGATTTGGACACAGCCTGTCGCCGCGTTTGCCCTAAAGGATGCACACAACTCCCACACAGAGACAGGCCCGAGAGAGAGAGCGAGCCCGAGCCAGTGCACGAGAGAGAGTCTTGGAAAAACCACCACCAGCCACAGCAGCAGCACCATCATTACCGCCACCACCAACAACAGCTCCCCCAACGCCCATTCGAGCAGTTGGTGGCGCTCTGTTGCTATTTTGTTTACCTTCGTTGCGGGGGCGATCGACTGCAGTAGGCGTGGCGCTCTGCTTGCGAGGTAAAACCGAAAATTAAAAAAACTGTAGCATAGTTTTAGGCTGCATCATAAATTGAAATATATATGTATGAGCTTTGTCCCTATATGTATGGCTTATTAACTGCTCGTGAGCCTATATATCTCTATATATATTTGTATAGCGCGCCCACTTGATGGATTCGCTACACACACACAATCACCGTTACACTCACGCACACACACAGCAGCGTCACCCTCAGCACACGGAACATGCGCACTCGTTGCATGCTCTCTGAGAGTTTGCTCGCTGGTCCACTCCACAGTTTTTTAATATACTTTATCAACATATCGCAGTCTCTGATAAAACAATCATCGTTTATGGTGCAACACGCTCAAAGTAAATGCCACACACAAACACAAACACACACTCACTCGCTTAGCTCACAGCATGATTGAGATATTGTGCCTACCCCTCAGTTCTACCCTGCGGGGGTGGCTCAACTCTACTCGAGTCGCGTCAAGTCCTCTGACAATAGCTAAACTGGGTTAAATTCAAATGCAAAAAAAATACAAATATATACATATATATATATATGTATAACCAGCCCACAAATATGGGTAATGATTTTTGAATAACTCCCAGTGTCTCACCCACCGACTTGCCACTAATACGAACACACACACACAAATGCGTATGCGTAACCAGCGCTTAGCGTGCGGCCCGTTAAAGGCTGCCCAAAAAGTTTTATTTTATAGGGGGAGCAGCTAAATGTACGCAGGAAATGACAAGGCATAGTTTTCGCATTTCTTTTAAACTATAAACAAAACTAAAAACGCGAGCAAACAAAAAAATAAATAACCTAACAAGTTAAGCGTAATAGACTAAGATATACCCTGTCTCTAAAGCATTCCCAAAGTAAAACCAATTGGATTTCTTGTATACAATAATTATATAAATATTTTTATTACTAATTTCGCCTAAAAAACTTTCATTATTTAAATTTTACAATTGTGGCCAAAATACAAATTTTGTTATTTATATATTTAATGGATTATTATTCTTTTATAAATATCAGCAAACCAATTTCTTTAGTTATTAAGAAAAAACATCTACAAATTTATCAGCAGTGCTTAACACAGTTAACATTTGAAAAACCCTGTTCTCGAAGTTTTTGTTTACAGGGTATTTACGTGGAGGCAAATCAAATATGCGCTTAACACGATATATTCAAATTTTCTGTGCGTTCGCTTGGTACCTATTTTATTTGAGTTTTTGTTCTGTTTTCTGTTTTTTATTTATTTTTATATGCCATATAATTTGGCTATATACTAAGCGAGTTTTCAATAACAATCGCTGCGCTGAGTCGTTTATTTGTCGCCCTTGCTGCTACTTGAGCTTTTGCGCTGGCGGTGCTGTAGTAGTTCCTGATATTGTTCTATGGAACCATCCTCATGCTTCGAGGTAAATTGCGTCTGTTCTTGTTGTTGCTGCTGTTGCTGAGACATTGACTTCTCATCGCTGCCAGACTTCGAATCGTTGCGCTTTTGTGCGCGATTCGATTTTTTAATTTTGTCACGCACGCGCTTGCCCAACCGCGAGGCTGCTAGCACCTGACTGACCTTGGAGCTCTTCAGGTAGCGAGTGCGCCATGACTGTCACAGGAATGAAATTAGTTTAGTTTAATGTAACATGTTATTTATATATGTATGTATATTACCTCTGAGTTTGTATCCTGCAGCTTCTCGTGATCATCGTCGCTGGTGTTTAGCAATATGACATCGTTGTCTTCTTCATCCGGCTCGCCTACCTTCTCGGGCTCTTCACTCTTGACTTTTACTGGCTCGTCCTCTACAGTATTCAGTTCCTCAATCAATTCCAAATCGCCGCCTATGGATATGACATCATCGTTTTGATCTTCATCATCTGCAGCGGGCTGTTCGGCTGCTTCATCTACTGCTTTTATATTTGATTGTTCCGCAGTTTCAACGGGCGCCTCTTCAGCTGTGGCTGATTTCTCTGTTGTGGCTTCAGCTTTATTTTCTTCTACTACTTCTGCTACTTCTTTAGGCGCTTCCGTCTCTATTGCTTGCTTCTGCTCGATGGGAGCTGCTGGCTGCGTTTCAGCTTCATTTTCGCTGTCCTCTCTCACCTCGCCCTCTTCGGGTTCGCTTTCCTCAGCTGGAGTGGGAGCTGGAGCTGGAACAGCAGCAGGTGCCTCTGGTGGCACAGCAGCGGATGCCGTTGCTGCAGTTGGTGCGGCTGTCGTTGCTGCTGTTGTTGTTGTTGTTGTTGCTACTGTTGTTGTTGTTGCGACTGGCTGCTTGGGTGGTTGCTTGCTCTCGTCATCCGTGCTGTCACTTATGAGCAGTGTCTCTGGCTCAGTAGGTATTGGTATTACATCTGGTGAGGCAGAACGTGATTTGCTCTGCTCCTGTACCGGCTCTGCCTTCTTCTCAGGTTCCTTTGCATTGCTAACGGCTTGCTTTTCCGGCGATTTAGTGGACGTACGATAATTGCGCTTCAGCTTAATCTTTTTCGTAGGAGCTGCATCTGATTTTCCATTGGTATTGCCATTGGTTTGTGGTTGATCCTGATTCCTAGCTGGCTTGTTGGCTGTCGACTCGTTCGACTTTCGCTTGTGACTGCGCTTCTCCTTGTCCGACAGCTTCTTGGGCGCCTCCTTCTCTTCGTCATCGTCATCCGATTTCACCTCGATCTTTGTTATGGGCTCCATGGCTAGCTGGGAGCGAATAGCGCGCGCTCTCGCCTGCAGCTCAAGCAGCTCCAGCACACTGATCTGTCCATCCGCTGGGTGAAAGTGAGTTGTTGAAACATTATTGTATTTAGGATTTAGTTAGAGTAGGCAGTTGTTGCCATTCAGTATTTGCTTTATATTTTTTTTTCAACTTACGTTCCTTATTTTCATTGATTTTATCGGCTCTTTTAGCGCTTGATTTCCGCAATTTGTTAGCTGCAAATTTCAAATTTACGCATAAGCATTTAGTTAAAAATTAAAATTGACTGCACGCCATGGCTGCGATGACGGGTGATGTCGATAATACGAGCCTGACAGAGCAGGGAGAACTAGAACAGGCCGAGGGTGAAGCGGAGCCCGAAAAGTTCACGGTACGACTGAATGGACAAAAGGATTTGGAACAAAGACTCCGCGAATTCAAGGCTGCCTGCGATGCGCACGAGAAACATGCACGAAAGCGCAAAAGGCGTCGCTATTATCACATGGGTCTGATGGCCAAGGTCGTCATGGAGACGACTCACGAGGAGCTGCGTCGCATGCTCGAGCATGGCACCTATACATTTCACGTAGATATGGTTGCCTTCAAGCCAGACGAACTAGCCGCCATACTGGAGACCCTAAACATAGCCATATCCGCACATGCGGATGAGAGGGAACTGCGCACTGCGACGGGTCTGGCTGTTGAAATAAATGGCGATTGCTGTCGCATTGGTCGGTTGCGCAACAACTGCACCACAATGCTGGCACGCGGCTCAGTGGTGACGCTAACAACTGATCCAGCTTATCGGTATGCCGGCTTCCGGGAGATCGTCTACGTAATCAATCTACGCGCCTATCTCAGCTCAATAAGGCTAAATGATGTGCTGCTAATTGGACGCGAGGTTCGTTGTCGTGTGGTCAAAACATTGAACGAAGCGCTGGCCGTGTTGATCATCGATGCAGGTCTCTTATCCTCGTATGACTTTATTGAGCTACCTCGCCAATGCCATTCCCTGGCGCCCAGCGTATATCCAGAACTCTATCTGGCCGATCTGCAAGCGGCCGCTGCGCTCAAAGCCAACTTTGTGGTGTTGCCGAAGATTCGATGTAAATCGTTCCTTCGCGCAGTTCGAGCGGCAATTATGACCGAGTTCGATATGCGACTGATTGGCTGCATTGACTTTGAATATGTACGGAATAACATGCTCGATTTATTAGGCATCATCAAGCTACTGGACTATATTTGGATACCGGACATGTTTAGTGTAAACTGCTGTGTGTACAACTATATCATGGAGGATGCGCTACCCATTGCGCACTGCCAGAAGAAACCGGTCATTGGCACAGTGCCGTTAGAGCGTTGCAACGACTTTAAACGGTTTGAGCTGCACGAGTTCCTCTGGAAAATTGATACGATACATATGCAGAAGAGTCCGTGGTGCAACAAGTATCCACTGATTGTTAAGAAACTGATGCCCATACGGGATTACCGTGTGGGTGTGGTACAAACACAGCAACAGGTGAAGAGCATATTGACCTCCTATCAGACAATTGTTAACTTCATCATACGTACGATTGCCACCATCGAGTGTCAAGCGATATTTGTGTTTACCAAGTGCGAGAACGCGAGTGTTGCGCTTGCGCGCTCAGAAATCTATTGTCCAGTGTATATGATGATGCCGCTAAATGATGACGATGATGAATTCGCCATCAAATGTAAATTCGACTTGGCCCGCGCATTACATCTGCGTCGAAACACGCATCCTATTGTCTATACACCTGATCTGAACGAATGCAACTATAGCCCCATTGAGTTTGGCGTTGATTTCATGCGACGCAAGGGCTGCCTGGAGGTTGGTGACTTCGTGGTCACCTTGGAGGTTGGCAAGGAAGATGAGGAAAACGTTGTGTTAGGTGTCGGCGAAGATGTGTGCATATTGCGCGCCTTCTACGTGGCCCCAGTATTCAATTGCGAGAAATTCAAATATGGCACATAAGAGCTGCGAGTAGATTCAATCATGACGTGCAGTTGTACAGATACCTCTTCTGATGATCATTCAAAATTAAATGTACGTTATCTAGCATTTAGGTGTTTGAAGCTTGTGGGTGGGGCGCAGATGAATACACTTGAGAACTTACCACGACGCAGCTGACTGCCCTCGATATCGCTGTCCGATGATATCTCTTCCAGCGATATGTGCTCTGTAAATACAGAGAATATAAACATATATGTATGTGAGCATGCTGCTTGTACTTACCCTCCTTGTGCTCTACATCCGAATCCGCAGAGCTCTCTGTGTCCGTGGGACAACGCGAGTCCTCGATAATTGACTTCAGTCGCTTAGTTGAAATGCAAAGCAGCTCATTTAGACAAAGTTCCTCGACTTCATCCAAGCTAGATTCCTGCAAGAAATATCAGTTACTACATACTATTACACATTTTATTCAGCTTACCTTTAAAAACGCTGGCGCTAAATTCATAATTGTCTTTGGTTTCAGTGTAGCAAATATTTGTTTGACCAACTCAAGGCGATCATCGATGTAGTGAGAAATAGGATGAAGTGTTCGATCCTCCTCCGATTTTTCCTTCTTAATGTTTATAGGCTTGGGTATTTGATCACTTTTAATCTTTTTCTTCGAGCTGCTCATGTTGGTAATTTACAATTCAACACAAATGAAAACCAAACAAGCTTTTTCGCAGTTTTGTTAAAGACACCGAAAAACAAGAACAGCTGGGCACCAGAGTTGCCGTACTTTTTGGTGAAATCGATAGTCTGTGCGGCAACAGCTGAGTGCAAATCAGTGCAGAATTGTGTTTTGGCTTTAATTGTAAAGAAATTAAGTGTCGTTTAATTTATAATTTAAATAAGAAAGTAAGTAAATGAAAATATGCTGTGCTCTTAAGTAAGTGGCTTATACCATTTATAATGAGCTGCCGGTTACGACAAGGTGCTCATGCTCGAATGCGAATTGGATAACCATAAGCATGTTTCTATGTAAATTATCTCGACTGCGTGCAAAGTTAGAACCATGTTAACTGTAAAAACAATCAAATTTACCTCGTTTTTGTGGCGTGTATCATTAAAGAGAATTGATTCACTGTAAATAGTTTTAGATATACCACTGTTCTTTGGTCAGTGGATATACTAAGGGCTCTCGTACGTTTATATTTGGTATTTATCGGCATAGTGTGTAATGGCCACACCGCTAGCCATATGTTCATTAACTATAGAAGAGAGAGACGCGAGAGTGTGAGCGTCGGTAAAAATAGTTTTCCGTTTCATAAAGCGGTTCGCACCGCTAATACAACTGGAACAAATTTAAAAATACATGTACAATGTATGTGTGCAATAGATAGTGTAAATATAAAGTAAATACCAATATGTAATTAGATGTGCGGAGTGAATATAAATGCAAAGCACTTTAAAAGCATCTGAGCAAACGTACACACAAATAAAATTCCCTCTACATGCAAAAATTGACGTTCGAGCAAAGCGAAAAAAAAATTACGCTACAAAGCAATTAAAATGAGCATTCCGCGCGGGGGCAATAGCGGCGGCGGCAGCACTTCGCTCGATTTAACCCCATTGCTCGATGCCAGCAACAACAGCGATGATAGCGATCAAGAAACGGGCGGCAAATCAAATGGAGGCGCCCAGTTGAATAACTCCTCCAGTGTTAGCTCCAAGGAACTGCGCAGTAGCCATCGGGATAGAGAGCGAGAGGAAGCGGATGCGGCAATGTTTGTGAAGAAGGTTGGCAGCGCACTCTTCTATGGCATCGCCTCGTTTATGATCACCGTCGTCAATAAGACTGTCCTCACGTCTTATCGCTTTCCCTCGTTCCTCTTTCTGAGTCTGGGTCAGCTAACGGCCAGTATTATAGTGCTTGGAGCTGGCAAACGACTGAGGCTAGTCACGTATCCGCCCCTGCAGCGAAATACGTTTGCGAAGATCTTTCCACTGCCCTTGATCTTTGGCTTCAACATGATCTTCGGCCTTGGAGGCACTAAAGCGCTCAGCTTGCCCATGTTCGCTGCGTTACGTCGCTTCTCCATCCTGATGACCATGCTGCTAGAGCTGAAGATACTTGGAGTAAGGCCGACGACGGCAGTTCAAATAAGCGTTTATGCTATGATCGGTGGCGCTTTGATAGCCGCCTCCGACGATCTGTCATTCAATATGCAGGGCTACACGTACGTGATGATCACCAATGCGCTGACAGCCTCGAACGGCGTGTTTGTAAAAAAGAAACTGGACACCTCGGAGATCGGGAAGTATGGATTGATGTTCTACAATTCGCTGTTCATGTTTGTGCCTGCCCTGTTGCTCAACTATGTGACGGGCGATCTCCAAAAGGCCATCGATTTCGCCAGCTGGAACGATCCGGCATTTGTTGTGCAATTTCTCCTCAGCTGTGTGATGGGCTTTATCTTATCGTACAGCACAATTCTATGCACCCAGTTCAACTCTGCACTAACAACGACAATCGTCGGTTGCCTTAAGAACATCTGTGTCACCTATCTGGGCATGTTCATTGGAGGAGATTACGTATTCTCGTGGCTCAACTGCATTGGCATCAACATCAGCGTGATGGCAAGCCTTCTCTATACGTACGTCACATTCCGGCGGAAGCAGGCGCCCGATAAGCAAGCCCACTTGCCTAGCTCTCGAGGAGAGAGCGTCTAGTCGAAGACTAATCAGTGAGAGAGCCTGCTGCCAAAGCCATAAAAATTTCATGTAGAGCATCGAGCAACGACTAGATTAAGAGAGCAACTAAACACTCTAAAGAAGCACACATTGTATACTGTAAAACTATAAATTGTACATATGTAGTTATGGATTTAAATATTATATATATCTGAGCATATATATGCATATTTATAAGCACCCATGTTATTTAAATGTCTTTGTAAATTGAATCACACTCGCGCAATTCATAATGTTAAAGTGTCATAAAAGAGCAACACAAACCATAATAGTTAATTGAATATATCTCAACAAAATATACTATATATACACATACGTGTATATCGATATTTATGTGTGTGTTTTTACACCTACACCAAAAAAAAAAAAAAAAAAAAAAAAAAAACAACAATTTGTTCCATTTGCTTACACTTAAGATAAGGTTGTCCGTTGATAAAGTCTGCGACTCCGTAAATTCGATTGCTCTTACCTGTTTCTTAGTTAAATGTATTGTTCAATTATGAGAACAACTTCACCCATGTGCTACCTGTTCGAATGACTTTACTGTCACGTGAATTTATAATGTGCGACTTGGGTTATTTAAAATATATGCATCTTTTTAATTCGTTAGACAATGTTTTTGCATTTTACAGCATTTTTATAATTTATTATTTACGCATAAAATACTTGTGTCCCACATTTTGTCTCAACTCGAAATCACCCTTATCAAAAAGTAATTATTGATAAAAAGCTATTTTTTATTGCCTTAGACCCTTAGGTGTGCCAAGTCAATCAGCCAATCAATCAGTCACTTCACATCTTTAAGTGCTGCTTAACCCATTCTCCCTCTCTCTTAGTTTCCAGAATAAAACGGAAATGCTTAGCCCCCTATAATTTAGACGGCCCGCTGGTAAAGCCCATTTCTTATATTTGTTCTCTTTGTCAGCCTCGCTTATCTCTGCGTCTGCAGTAATGCTTATCTTCCTTAAATATATATAAATACACTTTATATATAGTTTTCATTTTAATTACGATTACTTCTAACTTATCTTAGAATTTTCACGTGTTTATTGCTCAAATTACTCATCAGATATGGAGAGGAAAAAATAATAATAAAACATAAAACCTAATAGGTACACGGGTCGAGTCGAGTTCAACGTATTTTCGAAGAGTCAATTGTGTTGATATAAACAAAGAGTGGAAGCGAAAAATGCAAACCGGTTTCCAGATTTTAGTTCGTCTTTTTGAGTCTAAAGCCATTTGTGGGGCGGCAATGTTTACTTACGAATCTGTTCGACTTGGTCTATAGACAAATCGCTTACGCAAAGGGGGTATACTACTGTGGAAGGGTAATTCATGGTCGCGCTTAAGAGCCGAGTCACACATATAATTAGTCAGCGAGTTGTTGGTGATGAGGTCAACAAGCTCGCGGCATCTATTGTTAACGTCACTTAACCATGTTTATCTACAGCAATGATGCAGCAGCTAAGGCGCATCTCACTGCCTCGCTTGCAGCGCCACGTGACCTTGAGCCTGTTGAGCAGATGCGGCTCGACGTCCACGGATGTTCCGCCAGAGGAGCTGGATGCCTTTGAGCGTGATTACTTGCAGCAACGCATTCAGATAACAACATTTCAAAGGCTGTTGCTGGGTGCCGGCTCATCCATTGCCTCATTGCTGAATCCGCACAGGTGGGCACAGCATATACCTGGCTGTAAATGAGGCACACTAGATTCATAGTTTACTTTCGCAGACACGACATGATTGCCTGCCTGGGCGAGACAACCGGTGAGAATGCGCTGTTGAATATTTTGGATACCATGCAGGCGAGTGAGGAAGGACGTCGAATCCTTGTCGAAAAGCCACGCATTAATACAAAAACAATTGATCTCAAGAGCTTGGAAGCGTTGCCATCAGATTCATTTGGCTTTGCCTATGCCAAGTTCTTGAAAGACAACGTAAGTGAAGCTACGGCAGATCTGATTTACTTTAATGTATATTTTATATTTATTAGATATTTTATTTAAAGCATATCCCATTTTTTTCGCATATTTATCAATATAGAATGTGACGCCCGATTCGCGCATGGAAGTGCGCTTTCTGGAAGACCCTAAACTGGCCTATATAATGACGCGCTATCGCGAATGTCACGATTTAGTTCATGCCGTGCTGGATATGCCGACGAATATGCTCTGTGAGGTGACTGTCAAATGGGTGGAAGCCCTGAACAACGGACTGCCCATGTGTTATGGAGCCGCAGTGTTTGGAGCAGTGCGGCTGCGACCCAGGTGAGTCGACCTTCTAGCGTTAATTAAATACAACATAAAACGACTGACTCATGGCTGAGTGTTTTTTTAAAATTATTTTTTACTCACAGACAGCGTCGAGAGTACTTGAAGCGTTATTTGCCGTGGGCCATCGAAAATAGCAAGCAAATGAAGCCACTAATGCCGATTTACTGGGAGAAGCGATGGGAGCAAAAAGTGAACGACTTGCGCGCCGAGTTAGGCATTAAGCCGTTTCAATAAAGTTTTTATTATTTTGTTTTGAATTTCGATTGCTTTTTGTTTAATGACGCGGGTATATCGACCCCAATTCGATCGCTTTCGATAACAACGATCCTCGAAGAGAGCTAGATGGCAACGCCATTTGTCGTGTTTGCTTTGCTGATGTGTTGTTAAAGTGCTAATGGCTAATTATTTATTAGAATTGCAATATGGCTGAGAAATTTAATGGATTTAGCCACGATGAGATACTTAAAATAACTGGAATAAAAGATGGCAAAAAGAAACTCAATATTGAAGCAGGTAATTGTTGAGATTGATAGAGAGTATTTCTCTCAGTTTTACGCGTGTGTGTGTGTGCGCTAAACAAAACAATTGTTATACATACATAAACATGGGTATATGTGAATACATGAATATTTATAGCAAAGCAAGCGCTCAAAAGCCAGCCCGGTATTAGACGGATGCCGGATAAGCTCTTCCGGCAGGCAGATCAATTGCGAAAACAACAGCCACAGAAGCCTCAACAAACTGTTGCTGCCAAGGCCAAATCACGCTCAACCACGCCTACAGAACCAGAACCGAAAGAACCGCCCACTCCCACACAAGAAGAAGAATCACTAAATTTGGAACGTGGCTTATCGGATTCACTGGTCGAAGCGCTCTATTGTGGTTCCGTTAAAGCGCCGATGACAAACGGAAAATCTCAGCCATCATCTGGAGCTGCCACGTATGCCAGCGAAACGACGGATGATAGCTCAATACTGAAGGTAAGCAGCACAGACGATGACGCCAGCATCTTGCCCAGCACCAAAGACTCCACAGAAGAGCGGATCAGCACGGACTCTCCCTTCAAGGGCGTTTCGCTTAAGGACTTCGAACAGCATCGTAAAATGATTCAGGAGCAGAACAAACAAAAGAAAGAAATGCTTTACCAAGCGATCGAGCAGCATACGCAAAAAACTGCCGCTGAATGCCGTAAAATTGAAGAAATACGTCACGAACTCTCAAAGCTGGAGAACGATCTGGCCGTGGATGTTGCTCTGCTGCGCAAACAGATTGACAACGCATGCATTCACTTCGCCAATGTTGAGTAAGTCATACAAATATTTACAACCTATTCAATTTTAATATCCTATTCATTTTTATCAACAGAAAACAGTATATACGAATCGAGGCTCAATTTCTAAAGGCAAAGCTGGATCTTCACAATGCTTCAGAGAAAAAAGAACTGCTCACGGAGCATCTCTGCACGGTTATAGCCCATAACGAGGATCGCAAGGCACAAAAGTTGACGGAGCTAATGCAAAAAGTCGGCCTGGCGCCAACTGATGATGAGCCAGCGCCTCAGAAATAATCGAATATAGCGAATTTGTATAAATTCAGTTTGAAGCGAAATTAACTTACTTAGTTCTTAGGATTGATATTATCATGTGCATGTTTGCAAATACATATGTATTAAGTTTTTTTTTAGTTTTAAGTATCAAGTGCAAATTGTAATAAATAAATGTAATTCAAATTGGTATTGCCTGTTTTTTTTCAACAAGCTGGCAACGCCGGAACTGACAACGCATCCCTGGTAAAACAGCTGGCTTCCAATGGTTGGAAATGTGGAAGTAAACGCGTGCGAGTTTTAAAACATAAACAAGTCTTTAATTGATAAAATATAAAAGAAAACATTGAAAATGGCTGGACGTGGGCGTGGTGGGAAGACAGGATCGCTCACTGCCGAGCAGATGCAGGCGCTAGGCTGCATGGGCAAAGATATGCCACAAGTGCAAACGGCGCCGCCTCCAACATTTCCACCGCTACTCAACAAACCAATTTCCCTTGAGGTAAGTGCGAAATGCCCTTATACTAAATCATTTATATAAATTTGTTTTCTTTTAGACGACTGCCTCACAAAACTATCAATTACTGTGGAAAGAAGACTTTTTAAACCGCATGCGTGATTCACCATATTATATTATTTCAGCCAGCCAGGAGAAAGAACATATTAATGTTAAGGACTGGCGAGAGGTAAGAGACAAAATATTAATATCGACATCACTTAACTATTCACCTTACAGAAAGCTTTGGAGCGCCTTAAGCATAGGGCACAGCCTGAATTTAATTACAAAGCAATGCCAAGAGAACTAAATCTAAACAATCGCAAACGACGTGCGGCTGAGCCACGACCCAAGCTGATGCCCAAAAAGACAAACATTGAGGATAGACTGAAACAGCTGGAGCAGAAGGAGCTCACAAGCGGTGGTGAAAACGAAAACGACGAAGCCAAGCAGGATAGCGACTCGGAGCACGACGAGGACCAAGAAGATCCAGATGCGACGCTCGACGATGAGATGGACGAGGAGAACGACTATGCCAACGATTATTTCGATAATGGAGAAGCGTACAATGAAGAGGACGACAATATGGACGATGGTCCCGTATATTAAGCAAAAAATAAACATTGTTTGGGATTGTGATTTACTAATTCGCCACTTTAAGCTTATTCAACACATATTTATCAGAAATGTACGGGATTGGCGAAGATCTAATCCAAGCTGCTGGGAGGGCTGTAGTTCAAATGAATCACGCCGGAAGTTTTCACCTGGAAAATGAGGAGTCTTAGTGTGGATAATTTGGATACCCGAACAGTTACTCACAAATCCAATGGTGCCGGCCAGAATCAAAATTCCAGTCAAGAGGGTGGCATTGTACTTGGTGTTGTTACGGCTGTACTGCTCCTGCCAGTCACCAGCTGGGACAGGCAAATCGTCCATGGTGGAGTGCTTGTGGTGTCCACCGTGGTAAGCGGCGCGCGACATGGCCCCAGCTGTCAAAAGAGAAGTCAGCAAACAATCAAATTATATTATTATATACTCAATAAGCATAAATCTCCATGACGCAGGAGCGACACATTATGTAATTTTTAAGGTTAGTAAAAGCAGCTCAAATCGAGTATATAAGACTTGTACTTACCATTCCTGAGCAGCAGACCCTGCTTGACAATATGTTTAACCAACATGTTTGCTATAAAATTGCACAAAATATGTTTTTATTTCTCCAATATTTTTTTTCGCATTAAAACTACTCACCAAGATTTACTTATGTATCGACCAGTGTGACTGTGTGCAAGCGTTGAAAAAATACTGAACAACGTTATGTTGGCTGCGCGCAAGTTTCAGACCCACTTGAAGTTAGCTGCACATTGGCAGTAGCTCATCGATCAGCTGTTTTTGGCGGAGGCGTTCTTCAATTTGGAAACAATTATAATTGTTGAAAAAATTGCAAAGAAAATTTACGCTGCCTACATTCCGTAGCCATGCTGACAATCGGCACTTTGGCCAACATCAAGCACATACTGCAAAAAGAGCTGTTCAACAGCAGCGGCGAACGCCTGCTCTCAGTGGTGACGGTGACGAAGACTTTCAAAAAGAAAGACAAGCGGGCCTGCTACCTATGTGTGCTGACGACAGCGCCACCCGTACCGGTGGTTACGCTCTGCCTGGTGAAGCAATACGAGCAGCGGGATAGCGAGTATAAGCGCAAACGTAGCTGGCAATTGGATGAAATCAAGTGGATCGATGGCCGCAATGAGCAGTTCGAGACGCACGAGTTTGACATCCAACTGGAAAAGCTGTACAAATGGTACGCCCTAAATTTGCACGAGCGTCAGAATTTTCTGGCTGTGCTCAATCGACAGATACAAAAGTATGTGCGTGGACCTCGTGCCGAGTTTCGTAATGTGCCCCAAGCATGGTTATCGGAGAAATCGCCAGAGAAAATAGCGGCAGGTCGCGAAGGAAGAGCGGGCAATGTAACCCAGAAAGCGACCAATTCGGATGATGAAGAGGACGAGGAGGAGGCGCAAGAGTTTACAGCACTCACGGATAAGGAGGCCAACGAGCTGGGCAAACTGTTTTCCGAATGTGATTTTGCCATCAAGGATGCGGAGCAGTTCATAGAGCAGCTGTCTAAGGAGCTGCACGATTTGGATGGTGTAAGTAAATTTCAGTCAGTCAGAAGTAAGCTAATTATTCAAATATCTACAGGCTAATATGCAAAGTGTGTTGGCCTCGGAGCAAAAGGTGCTCAAAATGATGGAGCATATAGACAATGCTATAACGGAGGCGGACAAGTTTGAAACACGTCTGGATACCTATGAGGATATTTTGGGTCATGTGAAGGAGACCATGGAGAAAATAGGCGGCAAGAATGCCATGATTGAAATTGCCAATAACAACAATATCAAATTAATGAAGGAACTTAATAAAGTCATTGTGAGTATTACAATGTTACTTCTTGATATGCGTTAATTCCCAAATTCCTTTTAGAGCCAACTGGACTTGCCGCATAGCCATCAGCAGGCGCTGGAGGATCCCGATTTAAAGACCGCAGCCGGTCGCAAGGCAGCGATTGCTGCAGCGCAGTGTCTGCAGCAGGCCATGAATAGCGATATAGACCCCGCGCTGCTACGCCTGGAAGCTGTACAGGATCAGCGGAAACGATTTGAGAAGTGGAAACAAAAGTTCTCAGCTACAGTTAGTCGGTTCCTGAACAACCTCTTCATCCATCTTGGCAATGAAATTGGTGATATGCCGTTGACTAGCACCGAGTTGGTTCTCCCTAACCACTCGAATGTGCATCGCGAGCTGACGCCGTATACGGAGCTGATGCACTGGTCCAAGGCCATGGATCGCAAGACCTACGACGGGCTGATGCGCGTCTATACGGCTTCGCTAAGCAAGATCTATGATCGCGATATCAGAAATTTCTTTAATCTAGTAAGAATATTTGTATAAAATTGGTCAGCATCCCCTAGTAAACTCTGGTTCCTTTTCAGGCCAAGCTTCAAGTGTCGGACAAGCTGCGCAACTCTCGCGAAGATCTGGATATGTCCACTTCGTCACGTAAGTCTGCCGTCTCCACCATTCCGTATGGCACGCTGGGCATCAATCGTGATCAATGGGGTCCCGGCGTGGATAGTGCGGATCGTGTGCGTTTCGATGCGTTGTTGGAGAAAGTTCTGGCCGAACTGGAGCCCATTGCGCTGCAGGAGCAGTTGTTCTGTATCAATTTCTTTCAAATGGATGTGATAAGTCCCACAACGAAGAACACCCAAACGACGCTGGATATGGAAAAGGATAAGGGCGTGGATATGTCGCAGTCGTTCAACGCCTCTACCGCCTCGCCTACCAGCGCAAGTACAGACGCTGGTGGAGTGCCTCAGAAGCGCATCGATCGTCAGATCAATGAGGAAGTGCGCAAACTGATGATGGGACTCTTTGGTTGCCTGGAACCGGAGCTAGTTAGCTTCATACAAAGCTTTGAGCGTGTGGATAGCTTGTGAGTCATCTATATAACTTAATATGCATATCTTCTATACTAAAACTTATCTTCTCTTAGCTACTCTCTGTATGTATTGGTGCGTTTAACGCAGCATGTCATGTCCGCCCAGGATACACATTCCTTTCTGAGCATGACCTTTGCCTCGGCATTGGTGCAGGTCAAGCGCAACTTTGATCGCTTTATGCAACAGCAACTGCAGTCCATTAAGGAGGCTAAGCTTCCCAAGCGATCAAAGGCCATTCTGCCCTATGTGGAGAACTTCGAGAACTTCGCACAAACGGCAGAGGGCATCTTTCGCAAGTCGGATCGTCGCACGGACATGGAGAAATGGTACCTGCAGCTGGTTAATGCCATATTCGAAGGGATTAGCGTACATTCGCAGGAGCATCCAAAGACGCCGTCACAGGTGGTGCGCATGGAGAACTATCATCATATGTACTCACTGTTGGCACAGCTTAAGGTGCCCGGCTTAGATGCCCTCAAGAAGGAGGCGAAGATACGTTACAACGATGCGCTCAAGGCATACGTAACGCAGTACTTTGGCAGGCCACTGGAGAAGCTGAACGTAAGTGTTGTAGATTCCAGTTTTCAAATACTTCTAAAACTCTTTCCAATTTCAGCAATTCTTTGAGGGCGTGCAGCAAAAGGTAGCGCAGGGCGTGAAGGAGACGGAAATAAGCTACCAAATGGCCTTCTCTAAGCAGGAACTTCGCAAGGTGATCAGCCAATATCCAGCGCGTGAGGTGAAGAAGGGTCTGGAGAACCTCTACAAGAAGGTGGAGAAGCATCTGTGCGAGGAGGAGAATCTTCTGCAGGTGGTATGGCATGCCATGCAGGAAGAGTTCATAGCCCAGTACAATTATCTCGAAGAGCGCATACAGAAATGTTATGCGGGCGCCATGATCAATCTGGAGTTCAACATACAGGACATACTCGCCTTCTTCTCCGATATTGCGCGCTCCCACTGAGTGCGCGTTACATCGGAGATTTACTTTTAGGTGCAATAGTATTTAGAGCGATGTGTTTTTTAAGACAAAAATATACGCGCACATATTTAAACAGCTGATTACAGTTCAGAGCTCCGACAGAGAGATAAAGAGCAAAAGAGAGTTGTAGATTGAAGCTGCCCCAAGCGTGAGCGAGCATTTCTGCGTCAGCGAGAGCACTTCACGTAACAGTTGGTGTTGTTCTGAGACTAGCTTTTTCGCATCAGTCAATTTGCGCGCTTCGTTCCGTGCGGTTGGTTGGTCGTCGGTGTGTTCGTTTTGTTCGCTCCTCAGTTACTCTCGTGTCTGCGCTCGCTTGCGTGCGTACGTGTGTGTGCGCGAGTGTGAGAGTGTGTATGCACGCGTCTATGATATGCAAATGATAATTGTAAAAGCCGCAACGATCGCATATATATTGGCAGTAAACGGGGTGCATACACTTATTGCTCGACTGTGACTGGCTCAAAAGTGCCCTACAGCTTTGGCCTACACACACTCGACGGATCCTTAACGCTGTCGTCGCGGGCGGCGCAGGCGTTGCCTTTGCCTTTGCCTTTGGTCTCCGACTATCCAACTCCAAAGTAAGCGACCAGTTCGACAAGTTTTTTGTGTTGCCTTTGCATTTTTTATGCACACGCTTTTGTTGTTTTTTTTTGTGTTCCTGTTCTTTTTTATATTTTGTTTGCATACAAATGCACGTAGGCAACTAAAACAACAACAACAGCAACGAGCAGTCGTAGTAGAAAAGCAACAACAACGTCTTAGTACGAGTATATCGTTTCCTTTCTCTCTGCCTCTACGTTCTTATTCGAACTTCGTTTAGTTCTGGCGGTCATCAGTTACTGCTGTTGCTGTTGTTGTTTTTATTGCATTTGCTCTTGTTGTTGTAGTAGCTGTATTTTAAATTTTGCTGAAAGCTGGCCACCTTGATAAGCCGCTGGCAGGTCCAACTTGCTGGCAACCTCAACCAAGTTCAATGCTGTTGCAATGCATTTTCAACTTCCGCTATGCGCCCGCGGGTCAATAAACATTAATTAGTTGCTTACCACGAACAAAAAAAGAACGTGCACAAGATTTGGACTCGACTTAACTCTGTGTGTGTGTGTGTGTGTTACAAAGTAAGGCAGACAAATAAAAGCTTTAAGGTTATGTGTCA